GCCTTGAACCTGCCTCATCTCCAAAGTGCTGGGGTTACAGGTGTGCACAACTGCACCTACTTTTCCTACCTCCTTATCTGCTGCCTCTCAGGAAATGTTTGTCAGTGTCTTGAACCTTCTTCATCTACCAAAGTCTTACCCAGAGAAGATATTCAGGGTGAGTTTTTAATGAGTACAAGGCTAGGCTTACTAGCTAGGTCATAAATTCGGCCAAGAGAGGAGTGTTTTCGTTAAATATCAAATAAACTTGTGACTGTCCAAAAATAACAAATGGCTGCTGGCTCAAAAAAGCTGTTAAAGAAAGGGCCTTAAAAACTTAGTATTTATTTTAATCAAATACCTTTAGTGCAAATATAATAAATTTACATGCACTTTACTTTTATATACTCATAACAAGACCACATATACAAAGGTGTTTTCCCAACTGAATCTTCATTTTAATCAAACCTACAAAGCATTTACTGAAATAAACATACCTGGCAAAGCCACAGACCGGTACTGAGCAGCATCACTGCTGTACTACTTAAAAAGTAAATAATGAAACTCGAGATGTAGAAGCAGTGGCCTTCTCAGCAACCACTCTTCTGAGGAAGGACTCGCCTCCATAACGCTTGCCCTGGAAGTACAATGCTACACCTCGAAGTGTACTCACTGAACAGTGTGCTTATGTCACACAGTAGAGACCTTCACAGAGGAAAATGTCATATAAATGCATTATTTTTTGCTTTTTAAGGAAACTTCAATAGAAATATATTAACCATAGCTTCAAATATCCAATATTTTCTTCTAGTATTTTAAATCAAAGCTGAAGGAACAGGTCTTTATAAAGAACTTTCTTCACAGCACAGCTGTAGTTCACTTTAACACATAAAAATGCTCCCTTTGTGCTATATCCTTACAAACAAACATAATATACATAGAAATGAAAAGTTCAGATTCTGCATTAAGCATCATCCAATCTTGCCTTTTGGTATTAACCTGAATACAGCGAATTTGCAAAGCATTCTCTTAGTAGTTTAGTTGAAGCAAGCTTAAAAGGACATGAGTTTTCAGCATAAGATAACCTTTATGAGCTTCAGCAGTGTCCTTGGCACCCAGAAGTTCAACTGAAGTCCCGATTGGTGAGGACAAGTGGAGCGATGAGGGTCCAGACGTAGAGGAGGAGGCACACCCAGCTGGATGTAATCTTGACCCACACCGCTGGACACGTAATGGACCCAGCCGGGAAAGTGGCATCGGGGCTAGAAAGTAAGAACATCAAATAAAGGGACCTTGCCAGGCATACTGCCACACACCTGTAATCATGGCTCTTGGCAGGCTGATCGGATCACCACAAGTTCCAGGCCACTCTGAACTACACAGTAAGACCTTGTCTCAACAAAAAAAACAGAAAAAAGTAAAGGAACCTGGCATCAACATTCTGCAGGACCCCACAGACAAGGCCAAGAAACTTCCCAGTCAAGACTGGTTGGCCCTGCTACCTGCAGAAGGTTCTAGTGGGAGACTCAAGGAAGAAGCTGCTCTGTTAGCTGTTAGGATAAAAGACTCTGCTTTCAAACGGCATTTTTCCCCAGCTAGGGCAAGGCTCTTCAGGACTATCTGGCTAACTGCTGACAAAAGTTTAGACTGAAATGGCCTCCCTGAAACTCCATCCTGAGTGCATTATTGTAACTTCGACCAGAATAGTCTGACAATGGCCATCTCTAAACACAGAGAAAAACAGTAAACAAAGATGGATTAGATTGCTTTATGGCTTGATTCTCTCTCTAAACTCAACACTGGAAGAGCTCCAAAGGATTTCTACAACAAAAAATCCCAACTGGGTAAAACCAGTTGGAGAAAGCAAAGTCAAAAGTATTTTAGAGAACAGCACCCAACACAACTTCCTTAGATGAGCAAGGAAAGAAATGATGTGGTTAGGACACTGGCTAAAGGTTTTACAGGCAGTGCAAGGGCTAAGGGGTCCTCCACACGTTCTGTTAGTGCCTCCTACCTGTACCAGTTAGTCAGGGTCATCATGATGTATAATGAAGCTAAGCAGAACATCAAGTGGCAGAAGAAGTAGTTGTACTGCACTCCCTCCTTCTCATTGTCCACAGCCCGCCGAGGCTGCCCGTCCTCCTCGTCGCTGCCTCCACTGGCAGCTGTATCACCAAGGATCACACTGTCACTCCCTGAGAGGGTCAGCTTCTTTACTTGGCTGTTGCTGGAAGTGCGGATGCTGGAAAGTGATCCCAAGGAAGATAAATCAGAAACGAGTCATAAAACATGCATGAAGGCTATTTCTGAGTGCCCCTACTTTGGACCTGAAGGCCTACTAAAGGCCCCACTTCAAGTTTTTGACCAGACACATTCCCCACATCCCTTACCCGCATACTGAGCCTTCATACTGAGCTATATCCCCCGCCCTCATTCATTCTTTAACACTGAGAATTGAACCCAGGGTCTTCACATTTAGCTATGTCTTCAGCCTTTTTTAAAAAAATTATGTGACAGGGTTTCACTTAATTGTCAAGTTGTCCCAGCTAAACTTGTTTTAATTTTTGAGACTCTCATTATATAGCCCAGGCTGGCCTTAAACTTGTGATACTCCAGCCTCAGCCTCCTGAGACCTGGCATTACAGGTGTGCCACCATGCCCAGCTACTTCTGTTTTGAAAGTGAGTCTTGCAAAACTGCTTTGATTAGCCTTGAGCTCCTCCTGTTTCAGCCTCCCAGTAGCTGGGATTATAGGTATGTATCACTGCATCTGGCCTAAACAATCTTTTTTAAAACTTAATTTATATATACAATGTGTAAAGCCATGTAAATATGACAAACTCGTATATCAGAAAAGTGTATATTTATATTGAATGTTCCTAATTTTAAAGTTATATAACAAGTGATATAAAAGGATGCATTCATAATAATTACATATAGAATTATATCCCTAGTGATACAGACAGAATTAGCAAAGGAAACAAACACCTAAAAACATTATGTAAGGTTGGGGCAATAGCTCGGCAGTCTAAGCACCTACCTGACAAGCACAAGGACCCACGTTCAACCCTGAGGTACATAATGAGACCCTGTACCAAATACATAAATGGAAAAAAAAAGAAGAGCCATGCATGCTGGCACACACCTATAATCCCGGAACTCTAGAGGCTGAGGAAGACTGCTATGAGGCTGAAGCCAACTTAGGCAATGTAGTGAATTCAACGCTGGCCTAAACTACACTGAGTCTCAAAAGCCAAATAGGCTGGGGACGTAGCTCAGCAGCATAAGCATATGCCTGGCAAGCACGAAGTCCTGAGTTCAATCCCCAGTACCAATAAACAAACAAATAAATAATAAAAGTAAAAAAAAAAAAAAAGAATAAATTGTTAAAGTAATATCTGCCGGCTGGTGAGATGGCTCAGTGGTCTAAAGCACCTACTTAGAACAAGCTTAGCAACACATGCCAGCCAGCCCCGCCCCCTGGTGGGCTGAGCTGGCCACATACACAAATAAATAAATAAGTAAATAAAATTAAAACCTTAAAAAAAATGAAGAAAAAAAAAAATAAAGGGGCTGGTGAGATGGCTCAGTGGTCTAAAGCACCTACTTAGAACAAGCTTGGCAAAGCAAAGGGACCGCAGTTCAATCCCCCAGCACCACATGCCAGCCAGCCCGCCCCCTGGTGGGCTGAGCTGGCCACACACACACACACACACACACACACATAAATAAATAAATAAAATTTAAAAAAATTAAAAAAGAAATAAATAAAATAAAGTAATATCTGCCATTATACAGAAAGCACCAATAAAAATGGGAAGATAGATGTTAATGGGTAACATGTTGGATCTGGGGTGTTTGATTGAAAACATATGTATTCTACAGTATTCTATAGAATATAATTCTAATACATACATATATATACATACATACATACATACACACACATATAAACACACTAATTCTATTTATTACATTATAAAATAAAGATTTTTAAGTTTTTTACGCTGCTAATCACTAAACAGAAGGTCTCAAACATGCCAGGCAAGTTTTGTATCACTAATCTCTCTACCTCTAACTCCAAGAATATTTCTCTAAACTCAAAATCGAACTCACTTGATTATTTTTTTAACTCACTTGATTTTAAAAGCTACTCTTCTAGCTTATATAGGGTTAAGTGAACATTTTATTCTCCTACAAAAAGGCTTTACTGGGCAAGATGGTGCACAACTATAATCCTAGTACTTTATAATCCCAGTTTTCAGGGAGGCTGAGGCAGCAGGACAGCCATGAATTCAAAGCCAGCGTGAGCTACATAATGAGTTCAAGGCCAACCTGAACTACATAGTGAGATCCTGTCTCAAAAAAAAAAAAAAAATTTTAAAAGATAGACAGTATCTCTATGTGACTGGGAAGAATTATCTGATGAGATGATTTTTCTGAACTGTAAGGAAACATACTGAGCAGAGTAAATGAGGCGAATAAAGGACTTTTCATTAAAGACCGCTCAGTTGTTTAATTATTCACGCTTGTTTTGAAAGCAAGATAACCTCTCTTGATTCTAGTATTAAATTTCTCAAGAATATCATACTGAAGTCCCTTTTAACTTACCTAGAATACATAAGGCAGACAGCAAAGATAAACACTCCCACAGCATTCTCTACGTAAAGAAAGCGACCATTCTTTGAAGGTGGAGCTGGGGTAGGGATCACAGCAGTTGTGTTTGCAGGAGCCACAGTTGTCGCAGCTATGTGTGCAAAGATGCTCAAGAGGCTGGGGTTGCAGGAACTGTCTGAAAAGGGGAACATGCCCAGCCTTAGTGACAGCTCGCCTACAGCAACAAGAAGGATCTGAGGCTGCCTACACACCATTGAATCCAGATGGATATGCTAGTCAGCAGCTGGTAACAACTTTATGTCACAACTAATGATTCAGTTTGGGAACAAAAAAGAAACTTTCTGTCAGATTTTACAAATGTCTACTGTGATTATTATTGAATTTATGGCTTAAAGCAGTGGTGGTAAACTGGTGGCATGTGTGCCACAGTAGACTATTTACGTCGCTAAAAGCTCTAAAATGTTCACGAACGTCACTAGTTTAAAGAATAAATCTTTATTCGGAAGTCTACCCCTGATTTTCTTTCAACACAGTTACTTAATAAAAATTGTATTATCCTTTGGGAGCAATCTGCAATTCTTGTTTAACTTTAAAAAGTATTAATACAGGCTGGGGAGATGGCTCAGTAGAATAAGTGCTTGCCTGGCAAGCGCAAGGGCCTGAGTTCAATCCCCAGTTCTGGGGGAAAAAAAAAAGAAAAGGAAAAGTATTAATATAGAGAAACGATCCTATAACAGCTATAAAAGATTTTCTCCAGCTATTTGTGAGAACCTATGACATATACGAAAAATTCAATTAACTCTAGAAAAGGCCAAAACAAGGTCACCTGTGTCCAGTGCTCTTGTCTAGAGGGACTCAGTCCTGGCTAGATAAAATCTAGACTCTTTAAAGGACTGTGGTCCTTCAGGGTGCCAGCTATGAATAGTTAAGAAAAGATGTGGAAAATAAAAGTATTTACAAATCTTCAGTAAACACTGTATATTTACATGTAGTTTCTATTCATTTTACATTCATTCTAGCTCTAGTTTTTTGACTCATCAAGGAATACTTCTCTACTTTGATCAATGAGTGAGTTATTGATATTCCCTTACCAAGTTCATTGGTCATGGCCGACCACGTGAGGTACACAGTGTAGAGAGTGATGAGAGATGACTGCAGGAGGCCAGAACGAGGCTGGTGTTCCTATAGTCAAAAGGAAAACAATGCCATAGGAATCCCAAGGATTATATAATCCCAAGGATTATATCAGAAAATAAAGATTTTTTTAATTTTTTTCTAAAAGACAATTTAATTCCCTGGAATTTACTCATTTGTTAGTAATAACAATTTAGCTTGATAGCTAAAAAGATGACAACAATCTTTCAGTATGAACTAGTCTATAAAAACCGTAAGACAAAAGCATCCATTACTGGTTCTTAAGGCATTTCATAATCGTGAAAATGCCTATGTATCACATAGGAGTGTTGATTTTTTTTAGTTCCTTGATGTAACTCAGTCTTACCACTATCTATGAGGTGACCCATCACTTGAGTTTTCTCACTTTTAAAAGGTGAGACCGTATCTAGACACTGTATCTAAAACTAGTAATTTTTCAAAGTCTCGTATTTACTATTAATGCTGGTGATCAAACCCTGGGATTTATCCAGTCTAGGCCTACATTATCCCACTAAGTTAGTGTAGATACATCTATATAGACTTATATGATGAAATACACTGTGCTTTCAAATACTAAAATCAGCCATTTTTTTTTTAATATTTATTTTTATTTATTACATTTATTTTTATTGTGTGTGTGTGTGGCCAGCTCAGCCCACCAGGGGGCGGGGCTGGCTGGCATGTGGTGCTGGGGATCGAACCATGGTCCCTGTGCTTTGCCAAGCTTGTTTCAAGTAGGTGCTTTAGACCACTGAGCCATCTCTCCAGCCCCAGAGCCATTTTTTCTTAACCGCCTAAAATATCTTGGCTAATTACTCATAAGAATCATTCCCATGATTTAAACATTTCTACAAGAACTATGTATTTTCAAGTTACCTACTTTCTTTAATGACAGTGAAGTTAGTTACAAACTAAACTTTTAGGCACTAAACAGCATGTTTATTAAAGTTGCCAACTATGAAAGTTTATCATAAAATGGAAAATATTTCTGTGGACAAGCATAAGCATAAAATTTACTAGCTGGGGAGATAGCTCAGCGGCTTAAGTGCCTGCCTGGCAAGCACAAGGTCTTGAGTTCAATCCCCAGTACTAAAAAAATAATAAAAACCTAGGTTTAAGTTCAGCATTATTAAAAAAACCTTTCAGAGAGGAAGCACGAGAAAATAACCATACCTGAACTTTTGGGAGGATTGATACCACAGACACCACGATGCATAGGATCAGATTGATGCTGATGAAGTACTTGTTTTCTGTGCAGCCATCTGGCTTGGTATAGTATGTGTAGAGTACCCCAGCAAAGACGATTGACAAGATATAAAATAAGCTTGTAACAGAAAGTAAAGCTGGAAAAAGGGAAACCAGTATGAATGCCCACAACTCTAATGAACTTCAACAATTAGGACCAATTTTCTTGGGCCAGGGAGATGGCTCAGTAGAATAAGCGCTACCCAGGCAGGCACAAGGGCCTGAGGAGTTCAATGCTCAGTTACGAAGAAAAAAAAAAAAAAAAGATTAATTTTCTTGAGGTCATGGAGATAGCTCAGGGGTCTAAGTACCTGCCAGGCAAGGATGAAAACAGGGTTTGATCCCCGGCACCACATGCTCTACCAGCTACAGTGAGACACTGTACCAAATACATAAATTTAAATAAATTTTTAAAAATTAATAAAAAAGCAGTCACCTTTAACATTCATTTAAAAAAAAAAAAAAAGACCAATTTTCTTTCTTTCTATATCAAAATGAAGAGGCATGAACTCACTTTCATGGTAGTCAATAATTTACAACAAAATTCCTTAAGTCCCAAGGTTAAAATTTCAGGTTGTGGGCAGGGTACAATGGTGCAAGCATGTAATCTCAGCACTGAGCAGGCCGAGACAGAAACATCACCATGAGTTAGAGACCAGCCTGGATACACAGTGAGTTCAAAGCCAGCCTTATGTACATAGTGAGACACTGCTCAAAACAAAACAAGACAACAAATTCTCAGGTTGTATTAAATTGGCTTTAATATTAAATTTTAAAACCCACCTAGCAAGTGAATTCACTTCCTGGGTTACTTCATGTGGTTTCAGGAATTCAATGACCAGATGTGCGACCATTCCAGCTGGAGCAAACTGCTAACTATGTGCTCAACAATGTGTGCTGTAAACTTTTTTTGTTTTTGTGGTACCAGGGATTGAACTCAGGACCTTGTGCTTCCCAGGCAAGCACTTATTCTACTGAGCTATCTCCCCAGCCCTGTACGGTAAACTTTTCTCAGCAACATGGATGATTTCTGGGCCCTCCAGATAACAGCAAGCTACATGCCAAGGAAGAAACAAAACAGGCGTCTTTTTGAGACAGTTTTTCCACCGCAGCCACTATCTACCTAAATTTGTTTCCCATCACAAATAATGAGACCACATGGGCTTGTTTGCTATTTTCAAATATCTACCAAAATGTTCTTTTCCATTCACAAGGATAATCAATAGTTAGCTAAAATTAAAAATCATAAAACATAAGAGAGGGCCGGGGATATAGCTCAGGGGCGTAAGCAACTGCCTGGCAAGTGCAAGGCCCTGAGTTCGATCCCTGGTACTGCAAAAACAAAACAAAACAAAACAAAACAAAACAAAACAAAACAAAACAAAACCTAAGAGAACACGAAGTAAGCTTGTATTCATTTTAAAGCACTGACCTATCTGAGAAAATTAGTTTCTACAGTATTTATCTCAGTGGGTGTTTAATGCTTTTTCATCCAAGTATAAAAAAATTTCTCAGGCCGGGGAGATGGCTCAGTGGAATAAATGCTTCCCTGGCAAGC